TTTTTAAATTCAAAGTGCGGAAAAGACGAAAAGACGAGTGAGAGAAGTGCGCGAGAGATGAAATACAAACCGCGGTTTCAGTCGACTTTGTAGCTCTTTGCATTTTCACACAGGGGCATCACATGATCTCAAACAAAGGAGAAGGCACCAAGGGATGTTTTTCTGCCTGCTTGAGACTTTGACACCTGCCTCGCTGCAGCAAATTGGAATGGCTTGCTCTCAAATGAGATTTCTGCCCACTGCACGGAGAGAGGAAAAAAAGGTCACCCATTACAACTATTCTACATGATTCACAGAGTTATCACATCTCTGCTCGCCTACCTTCCCTTTAATTAGCTTCGGGGACCTGGGTAAAGTGTGTGTGTGTTTGTGTGTCTGTGTGTGTGTCTGTGTGTGTGTTTGTGCACGCGTCTGCCTGATACACACAGATGCTTAATTTACTTCTCCCTTCGCCTGTGTTCGCACAAAAATTATAATCAAATGTTGCTTTTCTTTAACAACACATTTATTGCCCCATGTATCTGCCCTTATTTAGCCTGCACTGTGAATCAGAGATTACCGTTATCACTAAGATGCATGCTACACTGTGTATTTGCATTACAGTGGTGATGTGCTGCAGTGTAGCGCTCATTTGAAGGTAGTCTCTTAGATTTTTATTTACCAAACAAATGACAAGATTTCTCCTCTTATCATTCAAAAGCTACTCGACATGATACATGCAAGATGGCGTTCGCTGTTTCTCACACATCCCTGCAACCTTCAGACCTCTGTTCCCTCCAGAAATCCCAGTAAACACAACATTTGTTCAACAAGGGAAAGTAGATAATAAGTTAGGTGTTTATATATTTTAGACCCAGTATTTTGTTTTGGACTAAGCCACTGGTTTACAGACAAAGATGTAATACCCACATTCTTTTACTACGACCATATGGCACACTATTATGTTACGTCTGGTTTGTTCAGGAGCCAAAGATCCTTATTCACGCAGTTGAGAACTGGTGCCCTTCTTGGCGATGTTAAGATTGGCAGATTCAAAAATAGTCGGGAGGACAATAGATAATGTGAACTGTAATAAATCAAGGAGAAGAAGAAAGTGAGGCCCCTTTTCTTCAGTATTTAACAATGCTGACTGCTGTGATTTAAGAGTTTCAGTTTCTCATGAAATAGCTCAACAAAGCCCTGAAATACCTGAGAGCAGATGATGATCGAAAATTGGCAAGATAATTTCACATTCCTGTCTTTTCAGTCAGTGTCTGATGAGCCTGGAGGAAATACTATGACTTTAGCGATTTAATTTTGTCTTTACCATATTTCTTTCGATAAATTACAATGACATGTATTATTAATAGATTACACATTTTGTTGTACACTAACTGTTAAGTCATTTCAGTCATCTGATGATCAAAAACAAGAAGAATTCAGTGTTTTCTTAAATCTAATTTACTATAGTAAAATATCTTTGGGTTTAAAGATGTCACTCTGGGCTTAAGGAAATGGTTTGGGTACTTTTCCGCCCCCTGGGCAGCTTCCTTTGGAGGTTTAGCGCGCATCTTCAACCGGGAGGAGAAATTGATGGAGGGACTGCATTTCCCATCTGGCCTAGGAACACCTAGGGAGCCCCCAGGAAGAGCTGAAAAGTGTGGCTAGGGAGAGGGATGTCTGGGATACCTTACTTTGCTGGCTATCTCCGCAATCCAAGTCCAGATCAGTGGAAAACAATGGATGGATGGAATGATGGACGTTTTAATGTATCATAGCAGCTGATTGCTAGGCGATGGATGACGTTGGGTTTCCTGTATTACACTCTGGCCGTCCGTGCAGTTTGTTGACTTAATCAAAGAACCACTGTCTTCAATACACAGTGATCAGCTGAGAAAGTTGTTGATCTTTCTTTAGTACATTATTGTTGTAAACCTATTTTTTGGCAATTAAGACATTTAAGATTAAAACTTTTATTCCATCCACTTAAAAAAGACTTCATAGCTTGAAGAGTGCTGATTGAAATAATTCCCTTCCATCATTATTGTTTTTATACGTGCATAAAAAACTAGAAAGTCCATTCATGTATATGTAGCGCTAATAATTTAACACTGTTATTGTTATTATTACTTCTGCTTTAATAAGTCACACAGAGGGACTTGACCACCAGATTGATTGTGACAGAGAGAGAGCAGAGTGAATGTGGTTTGACTTAAGGTGAGATTAAACCCTGAGCTTGAACGTCCTGCTCTCGGATCCTCCACTCGGAGCAACTATGATTCTAGATCACACAGTCTTGACGTGGTGGCTTTCTGTAATGCTTTTATCAATGAATGCATGCATGCATGGGCACAAACGGTCTCTGCTGTCTCATCCATACACTTTATGCCTCACACACACACACACACACAGGCTTGGTGCAGTAATACCAAAAGGGTTTAATCAAGTCTCAGAGGAAGACATCATTGCATTTAGAATCAAACCTATGGAATCAATATCTGTGTTACACTTAAAATGGCAAAGTGCTTAGATGGAACTCATGCAGGCACACAGCCCCGGGCTGAGTTTTGAATGTATAGATGGATGCGTGCGACGTTTATGGTCATGATTTTGGCTCTGTGATAGATCTTTGCAAATCTGAAGCCCTCGGGCATAGACAACCTTTCCATGGGTGAAATATCTGCACACCAACAAAGAGAAATGATAACGGTGTGTAGAGTAAACTACACAATGCAGACTCGTGCGGGGCGTCCTGGCCGCTCTCGGGATGCAATTAAATCCCCAGTGATGTAACAGAGCTCTCTCGGCCTGCTGATATTACATTTTCATTTTTAATTACTTTACACTCTTTCCATATAGCTAACATAAAAAACCAATTGTAATTACTATCATGACAAACTGCAAACAAGGCAACTTGTATAGAATTATAGAAGAGCAAGTAATCAAAAGAGAGATTAATATACATTAAATTGTCATGTTATCAGGAAGGCCTCGCTAATGCAGTCTCACAAAGGTTTCTCTGTTCTTATTCAGTGTTAAGAAAGTACATAAAGTATACAGTAACTCCATTAAATGCAACTAAAACACATATTTGTAATAATCAAACAGAGATCAATAATGAAGGTAACAAAATAATGTTTTTGTTCTAATTCACTTATATTGGCATATTGAATTTTAAAGAATCATTACTTGTTTCTATAAAAGAAGCAGAATTTTAGAAGTACTGTTTGCTAAACACATTCCTCTTTGCGTTTCTTACACACTGCTAATACAATAACAAACCACTGAAATGTAACTTTTTTGTGTGTTTAACCGGCGTGTTAGTGTGACGTCAGGGGACCTTCACTTTGAGTCAATGTGTCAATATCGGCTTAAGTGAAGGAGTGGCTTGAAAGCTAACCACAGAATCAGACTAAGTAGGAATTTCCATGTCTCTCGCATAGTTGGTAATTACGGCCGCTCTCCCTCATCCTCATTCTCTCAAACTGTCTGTGCCTGCAGTGAGCGCGCTTGTAAGTATGTGTTAGAAAGAGGGGAGAGAGTGTGTGCAAGAGCACAACCCTTATATATTATTGCAGTCACGCTGTCCATGTCTGAAAACATTTCACAGGCAGTGCAAGGGAAATGTAAATCTGAGTTTGCTGAATATAGCACGCACACACACACACACACACAGAGAAAAGAAAACCTCATTTCCCCTCACTCCCTTATACACACATAATGCATTAAAATGGAAAACAGCTCACACTGGCCCCGGCATTGAAGGGGGCCCTAATATTTGTTTTTCCCTCCCCTGTAGTGTCCTCATTGCCAATGACCAAATTTATAATAATCTCTGCCTCAGAGTCCAGTGCTGCTTTCAGAATCTATAATCACCTTGGCAGTGGTTCCTTCAGCCGGGCTATGGCCAGCTACAGGTCAACTTCCCCTGTGCTCTGCCTCTGCAAGGCTGCAGGAATCTGCCTGTAGGTGGGATTGTTTGTATGTATGGTCTGTTTTCTCCCACAAGGACACATAAAACCACAGCAAGGTTTTGCATTTGGTCGTCTAATGTTTCCGAGGTTGTACAATCACCTAAATAACATTCATATGACAAAGACATAGACAGGGCTGCTCAGAAAGTGCAGAAAGTCAAATGAATAATACAAGTGACTACAAATTCAGTCAAATACATTTCCTTTGCAACAAGTGACAAACGAATAAAGCAATTGTACGTTTTCTCCATGATCAAATCAGGCCGTAGTTTGATATTGTGGTTGTTTGAAGGTTGTTTCTTCTATGACGACTTTTCTTTGTTGAAAAATCTTCTTTATAAACTCTGTTGCTCCATATAAGAAATGATCTAAGTTCATAATTACACATGATGCATATGCAAATTCATATCACATGACCATGTACACTGGTCATGTGCGTGCAGATTTAAACAGGAAGGAGAAGGATTAATCTGCAGCTGGTTCCTTTGTTGCAGAAACAAATGAGAAACAGCAATGGAGAAAAGTATGACTAGGTATTTCTTTGCTTTTACTGACAATGATGCTGAATCTTGCACTGAAAATATTGGTTATTAGTAGTAATTACTGTGTATACGTTGCCCATGTTGCGTTCACCACTGGTAGTCGAGTAGTGAAGACACAATCAGGAAGCAAATATGGGTCTCTGCGTAGAAATCCAGTTTCTGTCCGTCGAGACTAAGACATGAGCCTGTAGTTTTCAAACTAAAACAGAGTCAACAGTCAAGTGATTTCAAACTTCTGTATCATAGGGGCTTGAAAACTCAACATTCGTGAGGATGACAGCTGTTAAACCAAAACATATTTGTGTGGATGCAGCGTAACTGGTAGAACCCAACTCTAGCCGTCAAAAGAAGGAAATGATGGCTGACATAATTTTTGTTGATAAACACTAATCTTCAGCTTTGTGCTGTTCCGTTTCAAATTAAAAGTATTTCACTGGCAAAACACAAGAATGAAATTATGAAGAAGGAATTGCATTGGTTTACTGATCTATTTGAAATATTTCAGGAGGCCACACTGAGCTGCTTGGATCAAGAGGTTGGTGGTGGTCACTGTGGTTCGCTCCAACACATCAACACTCAACACATCCTCAAGGTAAGCAACAACTTTTATTAAGCTGATACTCAAAACTGCTTGTTCTGTGTCACCATCAGACGCCCTGAACCAGATCTTAATCCTTGCGGCACACCTCTTTATGAAAACTGAATTTTCCAAAGTGAATGGTTGTGTCTTCAAATCATTTTGGAGTCTGGGGTGAATCTCCCTGAATATAGATAACTTGTAGTAAATATATGATATATAAATATGACGTGCCTTAACTCCAGCTGACTTTGTCTAGTACTGTGTTTTCCTCTCCAGAGCACTGTTAACTTCATCACAAGATTTGACAGAAGCTTTTGTGAAAATGTATTTTCATTTCTTTCACCACATTGTACAATCAACGTTCAATACATCTCTCGTTTCAAGCCCTATCTACTTCAGTAAATTTTATCTCAAGAAATATTTGTCACCAGATGGGTTTTGACTTTACAGGTCACATAAAATAAAACAAAGAAAGGTCAACAAATTTTATTACAATGTGCAAACCTAAACGGTCTTTCTTATGAATGAGGTCTATTAATAGGGAACATGTCCTGTCACCTAATAATGAACACATTTAAAATCCAAGACACCACTTATCCTTTGAGGCTCGCAGGGGAGCTGGAACCAATCCCAGCTGACACTGGGCGAGAGGCGGGGTTCACCCTGAACATTCATCTTAGAGGTAAAGGGGGCCAGTGTGAGGGCAGAGGTCTTTGCCCTCAGTTGTGCCTCTCAGGCAGAGTTTCCTCTCAGGCATCTTACAAATCATGCATACTGTGCAGGCGTTGGAAGTCCCTACCCACAACCATGGCCTAACATCTCATTGGTTGAACTTGTTGTGCATGAGGAAGGTCTCCCTCAGACATCACAAAATGAGAATCAAGTTACTTGTCCCATGAAATTGAATGATTTAGACCCTAGAAGAAAACTACAAAGAGAGAGGTAGGAATAAAAAATAGCATTCTCACTGGTGAGAGTTTGTGTCACATCTTCAAATGTCCAAGTGGGTGGAGATTTGGTTGCAACAGAATCTAAAGTTAAATCAACGCTTACAGAACGTGCAGTTTTTTTCAAAAGACGATTTACATACAAAGTTTGAACAGATCTGATAAATATCCTCATTTATAATTTCATAACAAGTTGATAATCTTGGCATCAGATCTAAGCCCATCTGTCCTACGGGGTCTTAAAGAGAATTCTGTACAGCATGCTGACTGGCACATTTACCCTGCATGGTTTGCATCATTCATTACTCTTGTGAATAATTTATACATTCTTTTTTAATTGCAAGTGTACAGCATGACCTTAATGCCCATTGGCTTGATAAGACAGAAGCAACAACAGACAAGTTCAAGACACCAATCTGAGCTGAAATAATTTTCATGCGTCTTTAATTTTGTTCAGTTTTTACATCTTATTTAAATAAGACATTACAAATCAAACATTTCAAAACGACTGAATATCTGATATAGTTTCTTTTCAGTCCTTTTTCCTGTTATCATCTGCCTCTCTCCCTTCCTGACCCTGTTTTCTTAATCTACCAACCCCTGCTCTCAATTTGCAAGACAAGGTCGCATCACCAAATCAGTTTTCCAGGAGCAGACAGACGCCCCGTATGCTCGCACAGATACAGACACATGATAAATGCACGTTTGCCTATGCTATCTAAGCCCATATACATATGAAGTGCTCACGCATATGACTGCTGTTGATTAATCAATTGGGTAAAACAAATTTTTACAACCCAGCTCCTCCGGGGGCGTTACCTCAGGCGCTATACGATCTGCATAAATCATAAATCAGACCAATCTGATGATTGCAGCAGTGAAAAACCCTGCCTCTGCACCGCCGGGCCTAATGTTATTTCCCTCCCCTGAAATGCATAATAACAGTAATGATAATAATAATATGCACGACAAGCCAAGCTCATAAATACTGGGATCAATCTGGCTTGAGAGAGGGGACATATCCATAAAAGGAAACCCCTCAAACTGGGTGCAAGCGAGTGGCCTGCCAGTGTTTGTGTGAATGCCACAGAAAAAGAGAGCAAAACAAATAGACACATTTCTCCTGAAGAGGGCTGGGTGACCCCTCACATGCATATTTTGCTCATTTGTATGTGTGATTGTGTCCCTGTGTGCATTTGTGTGTCCTCCCATTGTGCATGAGTGATGACTCGGAGCAACTGTGACCCCCGCACCTCACCCTTCCATGCATATAAAAACAGCCCAGTGCTTTCATATCCTCATTTAATGACTTGCTCCAGTGAAAGACCATTAATGTAATGACATCACACTGGCCATCTCGCACCACACACACACACACACACAAAAGAAGCTGGCTAACTGTGAGCGGCGATGTTCTCTTCTTAATGAACAACGAATTAAAAGTAGAGGTGAAATGTGTTTTCATTGCTATGCTTGTGTGACGACTGCTATGTCTTCATTAAATCCTTACAGGAGATCTTTGTGATGGTTTGTCAGAACATCTATATGTGTGAGTCAGTTCGAGTGGGAGTGTGTGTAACGGCAGCGGAGTTGGGGGCTGCAGCTCCATCTTACTAATTCAAGGACAGTTCCTAATCATGCAGAGTGAATACATGAAGACACTGGAACATGTGTATTAACCTCTTGCATATTTACGTCATGGACACACACGCACACACAGATGCTGACTACATGCAAGCAATTTGTAATATTGAATAGCTGACACAGTGAGATTTCATTATTGACAGTGTCACAGCACAGTCATGCAAGGTGGTGGTGCTATTGATAAACACAGCGTCGGCCTGTCATCCGCGCTCCTTCATCCGGGCTGATGTAACTTGGTGCAAAAAAAGGAGATCCAAGGCCACCGCTGATGACATCATAGCACCCATGGGGAACTGAGGACACCCAATGAGGGGGCTTTTCCTTGTGCACTGTGCTTTGACACTTCACTGTCAAAAAAACATGTTTTTTGAATCTGTTACCATGAAATGACACACACAGACTGTAATATATATATAAAAAGTATGATTTTATTGTGCTTAACACAGATACAGTACATGATTTATAAATTGCATAGATTTAATATTATAAAACAATGTAATTCCGGGTTTCTTGAATAGTTCATTAAGCAAACACATTCAAAACTTCTGGTAAAAGAATTATTCATTCATAGTTTCAACAATAAAAGTAATCAAAAGTGGAAAAACACATATACAGAGGTATGCATTGACACACACACATTTGCATGTACTCAACGCCTGGACACACACACACATTTGCAAAATCAAAATTAAGTGATCAAAATCTCTCTCCCCATAAATGAAAATTGATGTTATTCTATTTAAGGAGATGAAACAACATTAAAGTCAGTGCTGCATCATTAACAGTTCATAATTCTAATCAGCGGGCTAATACAGTTGATAGACTATACCCTGCAGGACACCATTCCCCCATGGTGGCAATTATCGCAAAACACCCAGGATCAACATCCCCACCACACACACTCGTAAACACACGCACCAGCCACAACATTTTTGTCCCTCCAATTAGAATTTTTAATATCCCGGTTGGTGTTAATGGAGATTAATGGCGAAATCGCCCTGGTGTATTCCAACGTCATCTATTATCATTCCAGCCTTGAGTCCCAGTCCGCCCTAATTACATCCTCAAAATGCCCTCCGCGCCACAACCCCCAACATCCGAAGATCAATCAATAATTTTAATTTTCGAATCGCCCCCCCGATCCCCCTCAACCCCACTCCCTACCCTCGTCCTCTGCTTTTTCGCTCCTGTCTTCCATGTCCGTGCACATCGATGGTGGTTCCAAGAAAAAATCAAACGCCACAGAGTTAAAGGCTGATGGGTAATTACCCGTCTCATCTACAGGCCCCCTTTGATTCCTTCGTTTGTTTGTCCATTGGTTCGGTCGCTCGTCCCCCTTGTTTCTCTCTTGTGCCGGATACGTCTTTCCTCCCTCGCCCTCTCTCTGTCTGGCGAGTGGGGGACGCCTTCCACTCTTTCCCCCCTTCTCGTTGCGTAATTAGCATGCAGATATGCATAGCCTGATTCGCAAGTCAAATCGCCTCCCTGTGCCCCCCTCTCTGTGGCTCTGCTCCATTTTGGGGCTCTGATTGTTCTTATTCAAATAGGGTGTTTGATTTGGATAACCCCCCCACCACTACCCTCTCTTCCTGCACTCTACCCAAACACACACACACACACACAGCATATGAATTACATTCCTCATTATCTGCAGACAGCAGAGCTTCGCCCAATCTACTCCTGCTCCCAGCTCTGCTGCCAATCATGCAAAATAAGTAAAACATGAAAAATTAAACACATTTCCAATTGTCTGGCCGTTTCCAAAACACGCTGGATGTTGTACAGCCTGTCTGAGCCTCTTTTCTCTGCAGGTCCCCATGTACCCACCTGCCAGTTACATTCAGTATACCTCAGTTGCAGGATTCGCATCACACATGCTTTTCGTTCTGGTGTGAAAACCTCCTCATTGGTACACCTTCACACAGACAAGAAAACTGTGCAATATGTGTTTTGCAATCCCCCCCCCCAAAAAAAAAATCACTCTTTCCCTTCCTCGCTCTCTCGTTCTCACACACAGAGCATGTCTGCCGGTGCAGGAAGATGTTTGCTCAGCACATTTCAATATGAACATCATAATATTCTATCTAGCTGCCATCCGTTTCCTTGTCATAAACCAACACGAGCCAGCAGTTTTTTATTCCTGAACACTCTGAGACAAAAATCACATTAATTTTCTGACTAAAAGTCAAATGTCATAGTGTTGAGAAAAAAAAAGGAAAAGAAAAAGAGGCAGGGTTGCAACATCTATTTTTGATGGCTATGAAAAAGGATATGCCAAGAGTCAATATTTGACCTTTGCCACGTTGCATAAATGGGGGTCAAATTGGAGGCCAGACCTCTATCTTTCACTCTCATTTTGCTTTAGGCTCTAATACATACTGGAATATCTCACGCCAATGCATGCAGCGATACTGAAACGTT